AGATTTCAGGATGCCTTCCCATGAAAAGTTTGACCCAGTCACATCCAGGTAGATTATCTTTAAAAACAGAAACATTCCGGCCACACTTCTCCAGGTATGACTTGACAATGACTTTGAGATCATTCACGCAAACAGGAAAGCCATAGGTTGCTACTGCCAGGATGTGGCTTGTCAGAACCTCCTCTTCCTCGCGGGAGAACACAGTTGGACGACCTGCCGACTTAAGGCTGAATAAGACTGAGTCTTCTACCATGGCTGCTTCTTTTGCCTTCATATACAAAGCTATAGTCGCAATTGGAATACCGTATCTACAACAAACAAAAAGATACCTGTATAAATCACATGCATTCCTCAAGAAACACATTTCCATGTCAACATAAGAGGTTAAACTTACTTTTCAGCAGCAGCTCTGATTGTTATCTGACGTTTGAGACATTTATCCACAGCTTCATGCAAAGTTTCAGCACTGTAGTTGCGGTAGGCACGTGCCCGAAGCTTACGAATGTGTTTTCGTGGAATTTCAAGTCATTAAACTGAGAAAAAAAATACAAAAAAACATGATGTTCTAAAGTGTTGCGAAAAATATTTTTCTGTTTCAATCGATTGACGTTGTCAGCGCACTCTGATAAGTGATGCTTGAAACCCCGACACCACCAGGATGGCGCTAGTTGTAAAAGTAATCCCGCCAGAACGGTTCAAAAATAAAAAACAGGTTTTTAGAAAGTTACCCCGTCAGTCTAAAGTAACCCCGGTTTACGGTATATATATATATATATATATATATATATATATATATATATATATATATATATATATATATATATATATATATTTTCACGTATTGATTCACGGATGGAAAAATGTGATTACACTATATTCCGGGATATCATCCGTTCGCTTGTTGAACTCCGACTGGAATCCTGCAGACGTTTCGCCAAAATCTCACTTGGCACACTTCGAACACAATTTTCAAAATCCGTTGAGAAATAAGCTCACAGGAAGGAAAAAAACCAGATAATTAAATACATTTTTATAAAAACAAAATATTATTTAGATGGCTTTGCTTCCATTCATTATTAATTGACAAGTCGGTAAATGCATATGTGTTTTTGGAGCGCGAGCATTGAAGATGGCAAGTGAGATTTTGGCGAAACGTCTGCAGGATTCCAGTCGGAGTTCAACAAGCGAACGGATGATATCCCGGAATATAGTGTCATCATATATATATATATATATATATATATATATATATATATATATATATATATATATATATATATATATATATATATATATATATATATATATATATATATATATATATATATATATATATATATATATATATATATATATATATATATATATATATATATATATATATATATATATATATATATATATATATATATATATATATATATATATATATATATATATATATATATATATATATATATATATATATATATATATATATATATATATATATATATATATATATATATATATATATATATATAAATGTGTTAAAATGAACCGTTTTACTATCTCTATATATTTATTTCTGTTGGAGTGTACTGCTTTCAAGTTACAAAGTAGCAAACTCGTTTTTATTAATATTTTAAGCACTGAACATTACTAATTGTTAAAATTTTCTCTTATATTTTATACACCTCCGAATGTTTGTCGAAGTAATAAGAAATGTTGCTTCCTCTAAACCAGTTGCAGAGAAACGTCTTTTAATAAATGCAGTCTGGCGTGCCTATACGTCTGTCAAATATCCGTTCATTAATCGGAAGCCCGTGATGTTCGGCAAGAGTTAAAACTAGACCGAGAAGGAGATACAGTTTTCACGGGCGGTTTTATAGGCCCACATTTAAAACAATTTGGAATCACTTTTAGACACATTTTATGTTAATTTCGCAAAACTTTCACCTCCTAATCTCGAGCCAATACCCGGAAAATTTACATGTATTTACATGTGCATGTTGGTACCTACGGTTGAAAATACGTTAGTGTGACCATGTCAAGTCTCGTGGAAATTTGTTTAGCAAAATGCCGTTCGGAATGGATTTTACTATACGTAAGTCTCAAGTGTCGCATTGCTAGAACTGCAGTTTATCAACAACGAATTGAACCTCGTGTCACAGATAATGTTATTAATTAATGATATAGAATTCAATAACGCTACCGTGCAACTAGTCTGTTTCATTAACAATCAATTCGAGTATCATCGCGAGGCGTTTTCATTTATTGGTGGCATTTAGTTATAGCATATTTAAAAATATTTCGTGTTGGGTTAATAGCAGAATAAATAAATAACAGAGTCAAAAGTGGTCGCACTGTAGATGATGTATTTATGGTATGGATAATGGCATGTCATAGAGTATCTCGAGAACAATTAAAGATACGCCCATATTGCTGACTGACTTTGAATGACAAATTGAATCGCGTTACACAAATTTTCATTTCAACATAAATTCATTTTTTAAACTCTTGTGATATATTTTGTTATTAAACAAGATGGAGGGCGGGGTTATAAAGCTACTGTTACAGGTTTTACTACCAAGAAAGACTAATGAATTACGGATTATATTTCCAAAGAATTCAAATATGAATTGCGCTATTTACGAAACTTCTGGATTCCTCATGCATCGGTTGTTGTTAAGTTAATCTCTACCTGCTTATATATTGTTTGAGGAGAGCTATGAGGGACATAAACATCGTCTCGGATGACTGATTCCCACATTGGTGAAGGGTAAAAACCTGAGTCGCGATTAAGATTGTATGGTTGCTTATAGAATATTAGTTTTATCGAATAAAATTTTATCGAAGGTGTTGAGAGATTTTTGGACAAGTGGTAAATCTGGTTTTGACGTTATATTTCTTAAGAACTTTTGATATGTGGTCAGTGATGTTTTGAATGTAAGGAAAGACAACGGTGGCAAGTGTGAGATTGCTTTCGCACTCATCATGGTTGTGCTGAACTGTATTTTGTGATGGAACTCTTCGAACGGCAATAATCCTTAAAAAATCGAAACCCCTTAAATCTAATTTTCGAAAGTCTGAACGCATTGCTCTAAAATTTAATCTCAACATCGTCATCCTAAAAGCAGATAAAGAATATGAACACAAATGAATATCAGGAAAAGATTCAAGATATTCTTACAGATAAATCATATTATCAACTTAAAAATCATCCTACGTCATCTATGGAATGCGACCTTGAAACAGTTTTTTTCTCAATCAGACTCTGTAAAAAAATCTGTCATCCTTCATGAGTCTTAAATTCCTCGTCTCTATGGACTCCCTATGATTCACAAACCGGACCTATTGTCAACGCCATTGGTTCTCTGACATATTCTCTAGCAACTAGATCCAAAAGATATTGTGGCTAGTTTCGATGTAGAATCCCTCATTACTAAAGTCCCTATTCCTGAAAGTCTCAACATCATTTCAGATACATTAAAATCTGAGAATCTGGAACCAAACCTTCTTACCTTAATTGAAAAATTTTTGAACAAACGTCGGGAACAGCTATGGGTTTTCCATTATCACCAGTCATCCAGAATATATATATGGAAACCTTTGAGAAGAAAGCTCTCGAAACCTTTCATCTAAAACCAAAATTATGGAAAGGCTAAGTCAATGATAGTTTTGTTATTCGGCGTCATGATCAAGAATCCTTAGTAGATTTTCTTAGATATTTAAACTCTACGTGTTACCACTGAATTAGAAACTAATAAATATTCTTATCAATCGAAAATCAGACACTGTGTTTACAGAAAACCGATACATTAACGCTTTGTCACATCACCATCCAGCTCAAAAATCATCGGTTTACAGAGCCTTAAAACTATCTCTGTCCTATTGACTAAACCCAGAATTAAAACACCTTATCTCTGCTCTTCTCTTTAATAATTTCCACATTAAAGATATTAAGCGTTCCATCAGAAAATACACTTCACCACAACCTTCCTATAGCAATGGGTCTGAAAGCAATGACATATTTGCCACCGTTGTCGTTCCTTATATTCAAAATATCACTGACAACATATCAAAAGTTCTTAAGGAACACAATGTCAAAACCAGATTTATCACTTGTCTAAAAGCCATCTTCGATCCGTCAGACAAAATTCCGTTTGAGATGCCAGGAGTTTACAGCATTCCATGCATATGCTCCATAGAATACATTGGAGAGATCGGACTCTGACAAAAATTGATTTAAGGTACATTACTAATTGTCACTTGGCATCGTACATAGGCGCGTCTTAATAATTCGCGGCTTAGCAAAGTTGATTTTTTAAAATTTTTGTAACAGAATAATGCATATTAAGTGTAAATAGTAATGCAATCGATTCTTCTCCTTACCATAATAATATATTTATAGGCTTTAGCTGATAAATTGACAGATATGGATGATTAAAGATTTTAAGTTTTTGAACGAATTTTTATAAACACAATTGTAAATATAGATATAGAGTGACGTTCTTATTAATTTTCCAACGGTTTTACTAAAAAATTTGCAGTTTTAACTTGCTGATGCCACATATATTCTGTTTTATTGAAAATGGAAGTGATACCACTGCAATTTCTATTTTCATCCTCTGGCTTTGAAAACTTATGAAATATTACTTTTCTCGCATAAGATCACTTAGAATCTTTGGGTCATAATTTTCTCCCGAGATTCCCAGTTGATGATCAGAACATATATCATTAGCAAAATACTTATTAAAAGACAACTTACCAAATCGACTTCATTCTGAAAATCGCCTAGTGCTGAAAAAATATCTGTAATCTAGTAGATAGCATTTCATTAAATCTAGTCAAGATATGACCTTATTGTGAATATTATATTCTTATAGCATTCAATAAATCTTAATTATTTCTGATTAATTTCGAGTCACCGATAGACATTAGCAAATTTACATCTTGTAAGTGGCATTATTGTATTTTAGTAGATTGGTCTGAAAATCAAATATGCGTTTTCTTTTCAGTGGTTAATGGTGGTCTCTCTGGCGGTCCTCTACAATCTGATATTTGTCCTCGGAAGAGCCGTGTTCTGGGAACTCAACAACGCGGTGCCATCCCTCTGGTGGTCACTGGATTACGTCTGTGATGTCATTTATATATTAGATACTCTTGTACATGCACACGAAGGTGAGTTGTTTTTAATTTATTTGTACAAATAATTAACGAACCAACGTCACAATTTAAAAAGGTGCTCTAAAACTAAGTATATTTATACTAGTTCAAAAGAGTAAGCAAAACTATTTCTAAACTCAAAAAAAAAAAGAAAATAAAGGAAAAGTGTAGAAATAAATTTAATTTAGTAAGAGCGAAACACACTTATTGCTTAATTCCTAAATAAATTGAGTAACAAAGCAAAAACATCTATGTGCCAAAAGTAACTGTTACAATTTCTTTGCAAAATAGATATTGGTGAGTTGGTTCCTAAATTTCTACTATATTTAGGCGCATTGAGTAAAGCACGTGTTCTAGTCATTACCATCCTAGCATTAAAGGATGATTTTTTTAAGAGTTTTGGTCTACTCTGTTATTAAATTAATTATATTAAATATTGTGCAAAAAATGCCACTATACCGGCTGACACAACAAGGTGGGAACACTATAACTTTTAACCAGCTTGAGATAGCGAATTCAAATTTGCAAAGGTTAATATAGGCCGAATGTCCAATTTTTTGACAATATGTGGTCAACAGCTACACTTGCGTTTTGAGCGGAAACAACAGTAACTATCGAATTTTAAATGGCACCATCAGGAGATCATTCTACGTAGGATAGGACGGTTTTCCTAATTTTTTCTTTGTTTTTTCAATTTTTATTTAATTTTTGAAAATTGTGTCTACGAGGCTGTAAATACTATTTACCAGATCATATGATCATGGGAAAAATTGTAAATCAAACTTTTCTTTACTTGTCTAATGGCAAATAGCAATTAATATAATGAACTAGTATTTTTTCAAATAGCACTCTAGTGAAAAGCCGGTATTTTTTTTTCAACAATTTGACACCAAAATTTCGAAAATCCGTTAAAAAATAAGCTCACGGGAAGTAAAAAACCGGATAAGTAAGTACATTTTTATGAAAACAAAAAAAAAACAATGGACGGGCCTGTCGAGAGTTTTTTCTGCATTGCCCCTATATCAGAAACATCAATTTTTTCTCCATTTATAAATTGATTATTGTTTTTCCATGATAATCTAAATCGATAACACGACAAAATCGATAATCAGATAAAAATGTACAAACTGTCAGAATTTTCAATCATCCGACTTGATGATGAGTAGAAGCAAAGCCACCTTAGCAATATTTTGTTTTTATAAAAATGTATTTACTCATCTGATTTTTTTCATCCTATGAGCCTTTTTTTAAGGGATTTTGAAAATTTTGGTGTTAAAATGTTTCAAAAAATGTACAGGTTTTAAAAAATTTTTGTTCCCACTAGGGTACTATTTGAAAAAAACTAGATTATCCAAAAAAATTAACAGTTCATTACGTTAAATACTATTTGCCATTAGACAAATAAAGAAAAATTCATTTACATTTTTCCCATGATCAGATGGTCCGGTAAATAATATTTATGATGGTCACAAAATGAGAAAAACCTTCATATCCTACGTAGAATAATCTCCTGAATCTCCTGAAACCAAAAAAGTTACTGTCGTTTCCGCTCAAACCGGAAGTGCAACCATTGACCACATGTTGTCAAGGAATTGTGCATTCGGCCTATATTAACCCTTCCAAATTTCAAATCGCTATCTCAGATTGTTCCCACTTTCTTGTATCACCCGGTATATTATTCGCCTAACAGATTTTTCTATATATGATTGAAGTCAAGGCTTGATTCATACGAAACAGCTATTAGATTGTGGCTAAATCTACACTTCCTGAGAAAAAAAAACCATTTTGAATGCTTTCATTTTTGTTTACAATATTTATGATATTCGAGACTCCATATCCCACTGGCAAACTCAAGATGGCACCGCAGATAGGCGTTATAGAGTATAACCAGCGACTTGGGATCTTTAAATTTTTTACTAATCCTGGTAATAAAACCCAAGTTGCTGTAAACCCTTTTCACTAGGTTTTCAATATGAATTTCAAAATTCACTTTTGTGTCTATAGTTACTCCAAGATCAAGATCCCTGATATGCTTTACTTCTTTACTACATACTCTAATGAATTTATAATCAAAAGCTATATTATATTTTAATTTACTGAGCTTAAGATAGCAACATTTGTCAATATTCAAAACCAGTCGGTTTCCTAAGCAGTAGTCGTAAAACCTATCGAGGTCCTTCTGAAAGTCGTCAATGCTCTTACACTTTTGGGTCAAAACATTTACCCGAGTCTACTATGAACAAGGAAAACAGAATAGGTCCTAAGTGCAATCCCTGAGCTATAACAGACGCTATATCATTAGACAACTATGTCCTAGAATGTATGATTGAAGAGTTTTGTAGTTTTTTAAGTTTTACTAACATTGTATGCCTTGAAGAAATAAGTGTTCATAGAATCCATCTGAATTCTATTATTTAAGGCATCAGACACATCCTGAACATACAGTGAGAGATTTGTAGCGACGGACCTACCCCTAAACAAGTCATGTTGCCTTTCACCAAGAACGTACCCAAGTTTAAAAATTAACTCCTCTGTTATAATCGCCTCAAGCATTTTGCCTGGAATAGAAATAATTGAAATGGGTCGATAGTTTGGGATATCAATCTTACTCTAGCCCGGAGCCTTTATTTATATCTACTTTCACACAATAACGCGTTTTACGACAAACCGAAACTCAATTCTACGTACTCGACGCGCGTTTCGCCAACCAAGTTGGCATCTTCAGGAGAAGATTAAAAGAGTTTTAATAGGAGCAGATATTTGGTTTCTAAAATCCTGTAAAAAACATTTAGTTTTCCCAAATTTTGTAAACATTTCCGTAACAAATTCATTCATTCAACAGATTCATGTGTTGTAAATTGGTTAAGGCTTTCGCGGCCCGTTGATAAGCTATTATCTTCATTCGGGTTTAAAGGCCGTCGTCGACTGGAATTACTTCCTAACGTTTCGCTAGCACGAGTGGCGAGCTTCTTCAGAGGTCCTTCCATCTCCGATGTTGGACGTGGACGAGTCTACGTCCAACATCGGAGATGGAAGGACCTCTGAAGAAGCTCGCCACTCGTGCTAGCGAAACGTTAGGAATTAATTCCAATCGACGACGGCCTTTAAACCCGAATGAAGATAATAGCTTAGATTCATGTGTTGTTCTGATTCGTTACTGACTTGCTCACAAAACCCCATAATGATTTTATCATGACGACCGTGCCATCTTCTTGGGCAGTTTGTAGTCTACCTCACCTAACAACTTACCAGTTAAGCATTCTGGAGAGTCTATCCTCCCAACATAAATTAAATTTCATTCTAGACTATACACATGCGATACAGATTATGCTTCAGATTTTTAAGATAAAACTTTTATAAGAGAATTATAATGGGTGTTTTTTTTTTCGATGTTTAGAACTTTAAGTTGACATTTAACAGTTGTCAAGTGATTTATTCTCAGTTTGGTTTGGCAATTCATTATGAATAGACTCACGCCTGAACAACGCTTGCAAATAGTGCAATTTTATTTCGAAAATAATGGTTTTGTGCGGAATACGTATCGCGCACTACTACCATGGAACGTTTTCGCACCACGTTTACTCTTATTGATAACTCGCATCACCTGAGACGCCGTACGGTGCGTACAGAAGAAGCTATTGCTGCTGTAGAGCGTAGCATTGAGGAAGGCCCGAATGAGTCCATCCGCCATCTAGCACAGGAATTGGATCTGTGTCCATCCACTTTATGTAAGTTTTGCGGAAGGACCTTGGTTTACGTGCTTACAAAATCCAACTCGTGCAAGAATTGAAGCCAAACGATTATCAAGTAAGGCGTAGATTTGTCGAATGGGCCCAAAACGAGATTGCCGTTGTTCCCAATTTTCATAAGCGAATTTCGTTTAGCGACCAAGCGCACTTCTGGTTGAATGCCTACGTCAACAAACAAAACTGCCGCATTTGGAGCGAAGCTAATCCTCAAGTGTATGTCGAAACACTGTTACATCCAGAAAAACTGACTGTTTGGTGCGCTTTATGGGCTGGTGGAATCATTGGTCCGTACTTCTTCAAAAACGATGATGGGCAGAACGTTACAGTCAATGGTGATCGGTATAGAGCTATCATTACTAACGATTTCATTCCTGAATTGAATAACCATGATGTCCAGCAGATGTGGTTTCAACAAGTCACACAACTAGTGCCAAAATCGATTTATTGAAAGACACGTTTGATGACCGCCTAATTTCACGTTTTGGGCCTGTGAATTGTCCTCCAAGATCTTGTGATTTAACACCACTAGACTACTTTCTGTGGGGCTATGTAAAGTCATTGGTCTATGCGGGTAAGCCACAAACGCTTGACCATTTGGAACATTCGCCGTGTTATTGCCGATATACGGTCACAAATGTTGGAAAAAGTCATCGAAAATTGGACGTCCAGATCGGACTACATCCGCGCCAGCCGTGGCGGTCATATGCCAGAAATCATATTTAAAATGTAATGCCACAAGATTATCTTTCGGATAAATAAAATTCATGTCAATTAAATAATCCATCGTTGTTTTATTGCAACTTAAAGTTCTATACATCGAAAAAAAACACCCCTTATATAGTACGTAATTTCTAAATTGGACTGAAAGAAAACTTCATACGAGCTTAATGTCCAAACTTGTGAGGCTCGGTGTGGCACATTAAACATTGTCAAACCTTGTTTGATAAGCTTAATAGGTTTCTAGCTAGCACAGTTATCGCCTAAACAAATAAATTTGTTTCATATAACAATATTGCTATGAGCTTGAAATCATATTCACATTAACTTTGGCACCAACACCACTGGTGTGAATAAAGAGAAAAGTGATACATTAAAAAAATGAATCTGGGCGTAAACTCATAATAGTTGGCGTAGAGCAATTCAAATTTCGCTACGTTTTGTAAATTTTGGTGAAAGTGGGTGTCTGGTTGTCGGAGGTGGATAGGCGTTCCACGATATTTAGAGAGATGATGTTTGCAGGGTGTTCACAGTAAACTAGTTTGTGGT